CTTGGTGCTGACGTGGGCTTAGGGTAGGAGGAAAGCCACTCCAAAAGCCTCACCAAGGTGACCCTGAGCACCGTGTTGAGGGGGGACAGCTACCACTACCAAATCCAGCAGGCGAGATGATGACTGCAGTGAGCAGGATGGTAGGAGAACCACCCTGATGTGCGTCACCCTCTTTAAAAATATATAGTTCAGTCTGCCCAGATCTCATTTAGGCATTTAAATGAAGTAGTTAAAAGATGCACACACACACACACTTACACACCCCACAGCTCCACCAAATGAGATTTATTCTGTCCTTAGCAGGGGGGCAGACAAATCTGGTGGACTTGATACGGGTGATATAATCAGGGAGCCATGAATGTGGCATAAACTCATTTTAGCTCATTATTTCTTTTAGCTCTTGTCCTGGAGCCTGCTCATGTGAGCCGTAAGATTTGGCTGCAATGTGGGACTCCCACTGAAGTTCCCCCTGCGAGAGGCTGGGTTTCCAGCTAGGAGAAAAGCAAGATGCTCTATTTTTAGACAGGAACCAGAACATTTTTGGGAAGCACATCACGGAGCGGCACTTGTAGGAGCTGGGGAGCTGCCAAACAGCCATTTTCTAACTCTCCTCCCCCAGAGCAATAAGATTTCCATAGCTCTTTTTTTCTACAAGCTTTCTCCTAGCAGAGGAAGGCAGAGATCTCTGCATTGGACTTTATCGAGCAAATCTGCTGAATGGCAGGCGTGGTTTTAAAGTTCTTCCAGTATAGTATTACCAATGAACCTTTTGCATTTGGAATCACAGGCCACCTGTCTTTCTGTACAGAGGAAGACACCGTAAGCAAATGAGTGACTCTCACTACAGTAAATCCAAGACATTTGCAGATACCGTGTGGTTTCCTGGAATAACAAGCTCTCTCCAGAGAAACGCCAAGTGCATCTCATCAGTCGCATTTAGAGCTCTGCAACATCTGCAAGTAAATTATTAATGAGCTCAAACGTCTTAGAATCACCCCAAAGTCAGGCACAACGTGGCTCTTTGGCTCATCAGCTCAGATTTGGGCTCGTCCTTTCCCTTCTTCCTTTGGTATCGTGGCTGCAAGCTCCGCAGGCGCCTACATAGCTAAGCACAAGCAAAGAGCAGCTGGCACCAGCTGCGGCCGTGCAGGTCTATGCAGCCCTTGGGGAGCAGTCCCTGATGGGTGCTGCTCTTGGGACCCTGCTAGGGATGCTCCTGGGATCACTGCTCCCCTCGCTACACATGACTGCTGTGCACAGGCACCCTCAGCTGGCACCGAATCCGTGGGCAGGGATTGCCTGGAGGAGAGGTAAAAGCTACGGAGAGGAGCAGTGGGGTGAAGCCCCAAGCAGGGGCGCCTTGGCTCACCCATTGGCATATTAAGAAAATGAAGGGTGCTTCCTGTTCTTTTCCCTCCAAACAAGGTGTCTTTGTAAAGAGCTTTGAGAAACACCAGTGAAAAGGGTTAGATGGGAGTCAGTGTAGAAATACCTGTCTAGAAAAATAATAATGCAAAGACGCAATTTCTTCAAATGAGGTCAGGTGGGCACCTTCATTTTTGAAGGAACACGTGTTCCCACATAGCAGCCCCACCTGACCAAAAAAAATGGAGCTAGCAAGATGCAAATGCAAGCAAAGCAGTTGCAGTAATATGCGACTGAGTGAAGAAAATAAAAGGTGTTAACTCTTGTGGCTACTAGTGCAATTAATTCTGGTGAAAGCAGGGAGAGGAGCACCCTTAGGTCTTGAGGAATGTGTCAGGTGCAGGCAGGCCAAATAATACAGCATTTCTGCTCAAGTCTCAATGCGGGGAGGACTTTATGTGTGGACACTGGAGCTCACTGTAGCCCCTACGAGCTGCTGGGGAGGAGAAATGTTTCTCTCTGCCAAACTAATCTCACTCATAAGCAACATGTGCCATCCAGGCTACTCTCATCTCATAGCCCCAAAGCGGGATTAAAAATCTACCCCTTTACTTTACCTGAGCAAAGCCTGCAGGGTTGACACTTCGTTTGGCATGTGATTATAATAAAAGGCCTGATAGTGTATCTATTATGTATTCTACGTGCATTATTAACAACATGACTTCTTCCCCCTTACACTCCTAAGGAAAACATAAAACACAGGAAAATCAAAGCACAAGCGAGAGTGGATATTAAGAACAATTAAGCTCTGCACAGCGTCTCTGCAGGGGAGCCACTCTGGAGCGCCGTAACTGAGCGGAGTGGATATTATGCTGTACATTTGGTAATTCTGTCCTGCAAGCTCAGCTATAACTAACTGCTCCTTTGCAGAAGCTTTCATTACATATTAAGCGATAGCTGTAGCTACCAAGAGATGTTACCTGTTTAAATAGTCACTCATTTAATTTATTTCTTTGCAAAAGTGAGTTGCAGTTATGCTAGAAATAAAGTACTTCATAAGATGATTATACATTTTTTTTTTAAATCTGTTTCTAGAAGAGGAAAGGACATTAATGAGACTTTATTTTTTTAATCTGGCAATAAGCTTGAAGCCTCTATTTAATTCTATTATATAATGTGCAATGTTATTATTTGAGACTCATCTCTTTTCTTGTTTATGAAAATGAAGAACTTCAAACAATAAATTCCCAGAAGACTTCTACACCCTGTAAGCAAGATGTTCCTATAAAAAGAGATATAGTTACTCATGCTGAGCAACGTGTTAGATCCTCAAGAGCCCAAGATATCGACATGCCCTTGCTCAGCCTCCTGTGCCAGGAGATGTTGCCGGCTCTGCTCTCCATGTGAGAGCAGAATTACTTGAGACGTGTTGCTCAAGACGAAGCCCTGCTTGTATGGCTGTCTCCTGGGCTTAGAAGAATACAAACTGAAAGGAAAAATTAAAAGGGAGGCAGTAAGAAGAGTTTTCTTTGTCTTCCATAGCTCCTTTTGCAAAGGCTTATCGACAAGCTTTGCCTTGGTGGCATGGCTCTATTTTCTTCTTACATGCAGCCCCTGAAACAACCTGTCCTCTTTTGTTTTAAACCTATGCTCTCATAAGGCTTAAAGAAGTTCTGCTTCATCAGATCTTAATTCACTCTGGTATCCACAATATCCACCAAGCTCTGCCCAAGAGTGAGCCAGGAGGCAGTTCCTATGGAAAAAGATTCCTAATAACTTGGGCTAGGAGCAAGCCAACATACCCAGTGAAAGACGGAGCAGAAAGACAGCGAAAGGTGAGGGAGGAAGGAAAAGACACTAATGAACTTAAAACGATTGATTTCTGCTGTTTGGAGCACATCTTTGACCATGTCTGGTCATGTTTCTTCTGTGTGGTGTCTTGTCTAGGCTTTGGTCCTCCCCACATCTTGCACACAAAGGAATATCAGTGCCTGGGAATACGGTCAAGAAATAGTGACAAAACAGAGCCCTACCAATGCATTTCCTTTAGCTGGAAGCAGCCTTCAAAAAACACAGCTACAGTTGCAAGAATAAAAATAATGCACTGGATAAAACAGCAGCATCTTGCAGCAGGTGGGTTAGATCTAGGTGACCTCTCAAAATGACTCCTCATTCCAGGAGGCGGGACCACCAAAATATGATGCTGAGAGTAACGGGAAACATCCCAGTTGTCCATTATTCTGCAGGGCTATGCTGTGTTTGGGAAGGAAGGAGGGAAGGATGATCATAGACTTTTATATTAAAATAAGACCTCGGGGGACAATCTAAAGGTACAGCAGTTTCTCGCTGAATACCGCAGACATTCATTTAATTCTCAGTGCTGTTGTTTTTATTGCACTTTCTCTATTATTGTCCTGACTGAAAGAATATTTTCTAAAGTCTTAACTGTAGGGGAAGATGTCAAGATCAAGGAGAACAAAGGTATTAGGATTTAGGTGATTAGAAAGTTTCTTTTAAGCACAGTTTTGCTTTGAATAAAATTTATTCAAAATTACCAGTGTCCTAGGCAAGTGTTTCTCAGTCAATAGCACCTGTGGTATCCTTCCTTAGTTCAGAAGTGAATGTTATGCAGGTATTTTTCAAGTCTGTTTATGGTTTATCTCATTTCTGAAACTGGAAGCTAAGCTGGTTGGACTCATCCGCAGCAATTGCTGAGGATAACGGTGACACAAAATGAAGTTCTGCAGCTTTGCTCCATTAGTCATTACCTCGCTGAGCATCATTCCCACCCCACTTAGCAGCGATGAGCTACTGAAGAATACCATAGGGAAAACATGCTTTCAAACAAGAATCCCGAAAACGCTTATGCTTGAGCTGTTCCAGTGAAAAAATAGGGATGAGTCAGAGTTACACAAGCACATTTAGTTCTGGGAAAGGGACATGGCTTTTTCAGACCATCCAGCACAGGGCTTAACAGAAGCTACAAATGTTCAGTGTCGGGGAAATCAGGCCGTAGAGTGAAATATAAAGGGTCTGTGTAAATTTATAACGGCAATGTCAAGAAATGGCAAATGATTTTTTTTTTTTTTAACACAATAAAGTGATCTTACCTACAGTGTTATTCCCTACTTGTCTTTCTGCATGTTATCAATGGCGAAAGAGACAGGAACCTATTTGCAGAGCTTCCCATCCTCTATTTGGATGAGCAGGTTTAATTCTGTGTTTGCTTAGAGAGTTACCGTAGCATCTGTCTTAGCTGGCCAGCTCATCTCTGCTGTCTCCGCTGCTGAGAGATACATAATCATTAATTACTTGGGGTCATCTTGGAAAGATTTAATGCAGCTACTGCCCTGGCAGACTTCAGCAAGCTTCTTTCTTCAGTTGCTCCCTGCCCTTGGGGATTATGCCAGCCCATGTTGTTGCATAGCCCAGAAACCCACATGTGTCTGCTGTCATATCGTTCTAGCCCTTCTAGAAGCAATATAGGCTTCAGAAAAATTATCTATAGAAGTATAATATTTTTTCTGTTTAAAATCACTGTGACTTCATCAACTGCCACAAAGAAACACAGCCTGTTGTCCAGAAATAATTTATTCATCAACAATAAAACACTGAATAGAAAAGGCCTTGTAAATAAAACTATATATATATAATGCTTTATTCTTTTATTTGATACTCCACAAAAAAACACTACAGACAGTAACAAAATAATCCAATTAATTTTAAAAATTTCATATGATAGTTATCACTCTTCATTTATCATGTTTTATTAACAATGCAAAGGTTGTTCTTGTACATTTTCTAGTTTTACTTGATTTCATTAGATTGTTTCTTAAAACACGTGAAGCAATTTATTTGCCCCATAATTTATAACATACATAAGTATATCCATAAACAATATAACAGCTCTGAGAAAGATATGCAGACTGTTCAATGGTAAATAGTCTACCGTAAGTTGTTTAGTGGGAGAGAGGGGAATAAATCACAACCGAATCAGGATAGAAGTCAACACATCGAAGAGAAATAATATCTGGGAAACGATTACATATTTTCCATGGCCCGTTTAGCAATGTGATCTCTTTCAAGCTCTGATTTCTCCTGTTTTAGATACTCTAGCACCTTTGCTAGCATATCCTCATCCAGGTACTGCCTGTTCTGGGTGTCATCGGGCTCCCCGGCCATGGACAACCGCTTGCTGAGCGCCGCCAGCTTCGCCGATTCCTGTGGTCCCAGCTGGCTCAAGTGCTCTCGCAGGGCTTGCTCCAGCTGCTCATCTTCCTGAAGGTCATTTTCAGCAGCTGGAACTGGAGCTCGCTTCATCTGGTTTGTGTTGATAACTTCGGGATATTTTGCCAACATCTTTGCCAAGTAATCGGCCAGCTCTTCATCTTTCTCGTTCAGTTTCTCATATTCCATTTGTCGCCTTTCCAGATCGTTAAGCCAAGCAGCTTTAGGAAACTGGTGCCCTTTCAATCTTCTGGGAAGGTAAGGCAGTCTCGGCAAACCATTTTCTTGGTTGAGACGACTTAGTAAGTAGGAGGGGTTCTCATTAGCTAAGTTGTCAGTTCCCAGAAGACTGACAATATCTTCAATATTGAGGTCTTCGGGCAGGTTTTCTGGAATAACGTTAAGAGGCTGCTGCTTCATGTATCCATTTTTAGAGTTTACATTATTTTTAAATATATCACTCTGTCCTAGATTAGTTTCGGACATCTCCTCCAGGTCTTCTGGGAATCCTACTTCCTGCTCAGCTTCCAACCTTTCGCTCTGAAGCTGCTTCTTTTCTCCAGCTTTCAGCATGTCTATTAAATCCTCGGGAGGAATTTGTAAATTCCTTGAAATTTCTATTAACTGAGCTATAGACTGAGGATCAAGTTGCTTATCCAAAAAGGTAGCTGCTCTTTTTTCCTCAGGTTCTCCAGTCCTTAATTTCCGGTTGCCAGCACTTCCCACCAGCCTCTTGAGGTAGTAATTCATTAGCTTTGAAACATCCTCTGATGCTTGATCTTTATTCTCCCTTCTCATTTCATCCTCAAGGAAGCCGAGTTTCCCTGACCTTTTCATTTCATCATCAATCTCCTCTTCATGTTTATCAATTTCCTCTTTGCTGTCTTTTATCTCTTCCTGGGTTTGGCTTTCCACTTTTTCCTCTATAGGATTCCAGTCTTCTCCTCCAACTACATCTTCATAAGCGATGTTATTCACTTTATACACATCATCTTCATCATCTGCATACAGTTTCTGGTCCTCATCCAGCCTCTCTTTCTTGTGACTGCTCGGTCCCGCCATCTTCCCCAGCTCCTGAAACACAGACTCCAACGTAGCAAGACTCTGGGGTGTGTATTGCTCTTCCACTATCTCATTGGTACGCTTGAAAGGGCTGTCTCTTGAACTCTCTTCATAGTGCCCAAGTGGCATCTTGAGGTATTTCTGCCACCGCTCAGGCCACTTGTAAGCCTCATAATCATCAGTTACTCCAGCTGGATTATCTGAACTCAGACCATAAGGTTTATTCTCCTTTGGGCCAGCTTTTGACTCTTTCTCAGCTTGCCTCAAGGCCTCCAACATCATTTTAACCCACTGAGACTCATCTTCGGTTAATGAATCCCGCATATTGTCTGGTAGGTGAATCTGGTCTTTGCTCTCCTTCTGCTGCAAGAGATACGGAGCGCTTTGATAAGAGTTGTAATCAGGGCTGCCTTCTCCCTTGTTGGTTTGCTTGCGAAGATCTTCTATGTATTCCAAGGCTTTGATCATATCAGGGTTTGGGAGCCTTTGCAAGTTTTTCATTACATAGTCTGGGTCTTTCTGGAGCAGCTGATACTGCTGGAAGGAAGCTGCATCAGCACAACAGATGAGGACAAAGAACAAGGTGAGACCACATGCTGCTCCCAGATGGAAGTTTTTAGCTTCTGCCATGTTTAAAATATTTCCTTCAAATAGAGAAGAAAAAAGGGACAATTAACATATGGAGAAAAAATGATTAAACTGTAAATCATATCGCAGATTACTGTTTTTGATTGGAACTCATCATGAAGAACACCTGTATGTGTCTTTATTAGTTATGGAAGTCTATTAGAACTCATACACGGAGGCCCTGTTTTGGTTCAAATTTATTTTGAGAATTTACTTTGTGAACCTTCCTAATGATTCCTTAGTTTATTGGAAAGTATCATCTTGTAATGCTAGAAATGTTTCCTCTATGCTTAATTTACTTTATGACCGTAAATTTTGCACTGGCAGTACTAAAGTAAAGAAACAGAAGTCCTAGGTAGCTCATAAAACGCCTAGAGAGAAATGTAGATGCTTAAGTGATGGCTGCAAACAGAAATCCCCATGTAACTGTATATCTGAATGTTGCTCAAAAATATTAATATTAAAACTGCATGTAGAATTTTTTTGTATGATTCTTTCACTGGATCTCTAATTTCATGCCAGAGTAACACCACTGAATGGTGCTAGACTGCAATAAAATCCATGTAATAATAGAGAACATGGCATATCAAATGACTTACAGATTAATTTCTGTCATTACTACTAGTGTTATTAATTCCTAATCGCTTAAAAAATATATTATTTTCACTATGGGTGATTTTTAAGCAATAGATCTATGAATGAAACCTTTCCCAAAAGCCAAAGAGAGCCTCTGTGTGAAAGCCAATCTATACTTCATCTCAAAAGCACTTTTTTTTTGCATTTCTCTTAACCAATTTTGAAAGGAGGTAAGTTCTCACTAGTGATTTGTTCAAACAGTGTTTCCTTTATTCACTTCAGTGGAAACCAAATCAGGTCCTAGGACAGACAGAAAGTTGACTTAACTGAGCTGAATTTACAGCACACAAAGAGAGCATCAAGAGATGCCCTTGTCTAATCTTGGTGTCCAGTTTACGATGAGCACTAATAAACTCACTTTGAAAGAACAGGAGTGGGAAAAATACATGTCCAAGTGAGTTACTGAGCTCCGAGCACTGCTGTGGATGACACATCCGTGCAAGCACCATCCACTCACGGCGATGTGAAAATTCCCGTCATTATTTCCGAGGAGATGCTCAGCAGGGAAGGCAAGGGGGCTGGGAGACAGGCAAGGGGCTCTTCTCTTCCTGATGCATTAATGAATAATGCACAGCAAATAAATGGCAAAGATGGGAACCACTTTTCTGAATTGATCTGTTTGGGTTCCGAAAAAAAAACATCCTGTTGTGGTGGTGATTCATGTCTCTTTGAAGCAGCTACGTACACCAATATTTACCCACTGTAAGTTGAAAAACAGAGTGAATGTGCTCGTTTTACCTCCCGGGTAGATTTTTCCACTCAGTTTTTGCCCTGAACATGATGTGACTTAACTAAATATTTAAAGCACTAGTGGAAAGCTGCTTTCTTTTTTTCTTTCTTCCTCAGCAAGCTAAAATCCAGAATATCAAATAATTTCCCCAAATATTTAGGAATCCCAGCCTACTATCAAGAATTGATTTCACAAAGAGTTAAATGAGACAGTTGATTAGAAGGTCCCTCCCTTTGGATCTTGGTTTGCCCTAAACCAACAGCTCTCCTATCTGATGTCACAGAAAACACTCTAGTCCTATATATATCATCACGGGAAAAAAAAAGAAAACCTGCATAATTCATTATTTTGTGTTGTGTAGAACTTGTTGTAGCAAATAAACAAAACACAGATTTGCAGCCAGGCTGATTATGAACAGATTTAACCTGGTTAGGATATGAGAAACTGTCTTCTTTTCAGGGTGGAGGCAGGGAGCTCGTTCCATAATTATCTGCTGGGCACCTCCCCCTCGCAGGGACGGGGAGCTCAACCTCCTTTACTGCATACAACTAATTACTGTTATGTCCCTCTCTAAAAGCCATTTGCAGCCAATTAAAATGAAAATACAAAGTTTTGCAGCATTTTCCTCAGCTGAATATTTGCTTTGCAGAAATAACAGGCCAGCAATTCCCCTCTAGATATCTAAGTACATTTGTCTACAGATCAATTTTCACTTGCATTTTCTTGATAGATAATACCTGAAATCTTCATCAGGAGAACTTGGGAATGATTCCTTGTAAAAGCTTTGGCTTCAGGTCATAAAATCCTGTCATTAAATATAGTGCATTATAAAGGGTATTATTTAGAACAAGAAGACTTCTCCCCAGTCTTTCAGGCTTTCATCTCCAATTTTGAGACAAGAGAGGACATTTTAGATTCTTTTGAGGATCTGCAGTAAGGCTTCTTTTATGCTGCTCATCACAAAACCAGCTAAAATGGCTGTATTCACTACAGCTGTTATAATTATGAAGCTAGCCAAGAAGAAGAGGAGCAGATTTTTGCTCCTCTGTTTTATGGCAGTAGCCTCCTCTACCAGCACCCGGCAAAGAGGCGAACCTTTCTGTGGCCAACAGATGAAGAAGGGGCTGTTTACAGAGTGAGGGGACTGAGCTCTCACTGAGACGGGTGCGGAGGCCATAAAGCCTGACAGAAGTTCTCGAGAACAGAGACAAAACAAGGAAATGAATCTCCTGGCCGGGATGTTTCCATGGCAACAGTAATTTTCTCTCTCAGGCTTTCCCAGTAGTCTTCTCTGATGTGAAGATAATGTTTCCAGTGACATTTCTTGTGAAAACTCATAAGCTTTTCAATAGCCGAGTCCTTGCCCTAAGAGGCAGCAAGGGACTCCGACAGCAGTTTTCCATAAGAAAAATATGGAAACATATAACACAGCCTTCCTCCCGTTTGCTTTTGCAGTGAGCAAAGCGGCTGCAGTTAACTCAGTCTTTAACAGTGCATCTTAATCTCTGGGTTGTGAAAGGGGCATGAACACAAACACGAGTGTAGGTGGGCAGGAAACCAAACCAGAACAAACCACGGGGTGTCTATAATGACTGCTTGCACATATGGAGGCTTGATGAAGCTGTCTTTACACCCAAAGAAGCCTCTCACCCTGCGTTTTGAAAAGCCCAAAGTGGTCGTAAGCCAGAGAGAAAAGAGAACAGCAAGCGAAGCGTTACGTTGTACTTCCCTCCTGCCTTTAGAGACCCAATAAAGCTGACAGCATAAACACACGAACGTCTACGTGTCCCTAGACCTTATAGAGGTTCCCATATGCCTATAGTCTGTGCGTATCAGTGCAGACATTAGACGCAAGCCCGTCTATAGGTCTGCGAGGATCTATAGGGTAGGTGTATCAAGGGCAGTGCGAATCAGTGCGGACACGAGGTGCGGTCCCGCTGCCTCCTGTGGCGCGGGGCTCGAGGTGGCCGCCGCGCAGCTCGTGCAGCCCCGAGCAACCCGCGCAGCCCCGAGCAACCCGCGCAACACCGAGCAGCTCGTGCAGCCCTGCGCAGCCCGCGCAGCCCCGAGCAGCCCGCGCAGCCCCGAGCAACCCGCGCAACACCGAGCAGCTCGTGCAGCCCCGCGCAGCCCGCGCAGCCCCGCGCAGCCCCGCGCAGCCCCGAGCAACCCGCGCAACACCGAGGAGCTCGTGCAGCCCCGCGCAGCCCCGCGCAGCCCCGCGCAGCCCGCGCAGCCCCGCGCAGCCCCGCGCAGCCTGCGCGCGCCGCGGGCACCATCTAGCGGCGGCTGCGCGGGGCCCGCCTGGGTCGCTTGGGTGCTT